ACTGACCAAATACATAGCTTTTCTCCTTGCTTAAGGTACTGTTTAAAAATATATACCTCTGTTCCTTTGCTAGTTATTAGAAGAAAATCAAAGTGTTACATTCCCCTTATTCACAGAAGCCTCTCCTAAGACAATGGTGTGCTTGCAATAGTGGGGAACTGAGATGGCAGCAGTGAGTGAGGGCTGCCAGAGATGGAACAAGAACCACCACTACAGCCAGCCCACAGCCGTCCGGGCCTGCTTGCCACCTCAGGAGACCCACCTAACCTGCCAACCTGCCCTTACCGGTCAAACCAGCCTCTCCTAATGGTCCAGCCAGGGTTTTGTCCCTACACAGCTGTCCTTGCGCTTGACAATGCTGCTGTTACAGTGGACCCCTCACTCTGGGTGAGGAGAGCTGTAACTCCAAAAGGGCACTGGTTTCAAAAGTGTTCGAGAGCCTTGGGAAGTCCCGTCTGGCTGAAGATCTTGTATTTCTGAATCGCAGAGACCATCTCAAACTCTACCCATGCAGCAGTTCTCATGTGAGAGGGTTTAAGGGGCTCTGGTTATCTAGAATCTGCATTCTGAAATCTGCAGCACCTCCAGACGCAGGATCCTCAAGTTACCTAGACGAACCTTGCAAAAGAATTGTATGATGACCTCCCCTTGTAAGAAATCCTCTTCTGCCTCTAGGAGTATGCAGCTCACATTTAGAGAGCCTGTTTGGGGGGTGGGTAATGACTCACTGCTGTCTAGGGCTCCTACCTGAAAATATAATTCGCACATCTAGGTCTTAGTTTTCATAGGTGCGAACTATTTTCTTTCATCACTGGTACTGATCTTACACAGTTTGCAAATGCAAATTCATGTACATGCCCTTCTCTGCCTCAGAATAAGGCAGTCTCTTCTCATGATGTGCTGTTTTCCTTGTGTGGAGTTGGAGAGAGCATGGGATGAAGGCTTTAAGTTTTCTGAAAAAGAAATTACTCAAAAAGTTAATCTTCTCTTTGCTCCTGAAATGTACTCTGCAAAAAGAGAGTGGAGTGTCCAGAACCACGGGGCCACTTCCTTCATTCTCGTAAGAAACTCTCACCAGGAGCACAGGACTTCTGCAGCTTGACCTCCAGCACCTGCAGTATGTTACACTTCTGACACCTCCCTGTCTTTTCCCTGTTTCCAAACGTGTGGGTGTTTCTCTGGGGCTGTGTACGTAGAATTTCTCTCAGGAGCATTACGGCTTGCGTATGTGGCAGGCAAACACAGGTTTAAGTTTTCACTTAATTATTGCATATTTGTCACTGGCATAAAAAGTTTGCTTGTATCGACTTTGCAAGCGGATTTCGAGTGTGCCGCAGCAAAGAGCAGGAGGGCTCTTTAAGTCTTGAGAGTTTTTGAATGTTACTTGACCTGTCTCCGTGCTGCTGAGACCACCTTGATAACAAATGGATCAGTACCTCGCTGTTTGTGTAGAGGTGTCTTAAGTGCTATTGTCATCTGCTTGCAGCTCTGACAAAGCAGTTATTACTGTAGGAGTGGTGGGTTTTACATGTGCTGAGCATTAGCCACCGTCAGGTCACCCTGTCTTTTAAGGAAAGCAGCAAATGTCACTTATTACAGTGGCACTGACTCGGTCCTCTCCGGTTAAGGGACTGTTAATAATTCCATTATCAAGCTGCTATTTTCTGGGACGTGTGGCGCTTCCTACAGAAATGGTGGCTTAACTTTGTGTAAGAGTATATAACCCATGACACCTGCTACTGTAGCCAGAGTGTCCCCTCTGATCTTCTCTGCATTAGTTAAGCCCATGGCATGCTCGTTACAGGCCCGGCATTTCCATTTTTAGTGATTGACCCTAGTGAAAATAAAAATCAGTAACAAAGTAAAATCAAGGCGCTAGAGAAAATGGGATTCTGGCTGTCTCAGTGAGTTCATTTCTTCTTTCATCATCTCCTGTCCCCTTCCTCCCCCACAGTACAATCCTTGTTTATTTTTCCACCTTGCCTGTTGATTCCATAAAATCCTTCCCTGCCTCCCTCTTAAACTGGCGAGAAGGGCGACAGGTCTCACACCCATGTCAGTGCTCACCATGGGAGGCACTACCACTTGGAGGAGAGGAAAAAGCTGGAGACAGCAGTGTGAGGAAGGTGGCTACAGCAAACCTCCACCAGCCTAGTGACTTGAGTGTCCTGTCACCACCTCATACCCTCATGCTTGCTTTGCAGTCCCAGTGGGAGTTTCCAGGGAGGAAAAAAATCCTGTTTTTTTATCACCTTCTCCAGCAGTACAAGAGGAGAGGGAAAGCTCTGCTTTGCTTAAGGAGCATGGCTTCACTAGTGGTAGAGGGGCATTGGTTGGGTTATTCTCAGCAGTCCTCGAGGGCTTTTGAAAAACATTTATTTTAGAGCAGCCCCTGGGCTGCTCTAGCTTTTACTGAGGTCTCTGTGACCAGCGGGGTTCACAAAAGAGGAAAAACAGTGGCGTACCACATCTTTTTATATCCGCTCCTCTCCTTTCCCCATCAAGCTTGATCCAGCCAAGATGTTGGACTGGGGGTATGTACAGTGGTGGCCTTTCTGATCTTCGTAATTGCCTGTGGCAGCTAATTAACAACACAAGGGTACTGGTAATGAGGGGAAAAAGCAAATGTTGACATTGCAGCCAGTTTATTCTGCAGCAAGATGTTAATTAAAAAAAAGTCTGGTGCTTTGTGTCAGCCCTACCCTTAGGAAAAAAGGGCTGCGTTCCTGCAAGTGTCACACTCCCACTTACCTTGTGACAGCAAATGAAGTTTAAGTTCCTTTGACCATCAGCTTCTTGCAATGTGAACTTGTAATAAAACCAGCAGCAGTATTTGCTCACAGACCTACCTGTAGCTCACAGTGCTACCCCGAATGCAGGAAACCCATTCAAGCTGTTTGATATCTTCTAAACAAAATGCTTTGTTTGCATTGCAGGTGTGCCGATGTTATCTGTACAACCCAAAGGGAAGCAGAAGGGCTGCGCTGGCTGCAACCGGAAGATCAAGGACCGGTACCTGCTGAAGGCTCTGGATAAGTATTGGCATGAAGACTGTCTAAAGTGTGCCTGCTGTGACTGTCGTCTTGGAGAGGTTGGATCAACTCTTTACACAAAAGCAAATCTCATTCTTTGCCGCAGAGATTACCTGAGGTAAATAGAGGAACGTACTGTGGGCTCTTCCCAAAGCCTCTCAGTGTGCTGCCAGCTGTTTGTCTTTCTAAACCTCTACTATGAAAACACGTACTTGTGCATGGTCAGCCCTGCCCAGAAGAGGTTGGAGTTTCTTCCTCTGTCTAAGCATGGCTTTTTATTTGCACGTAACGTTATTTTGTAGTCAGGGAGGTGGCATCCTATTTTTAGGTCAAGGTAGAAGGAGGAGGGCATGACTTAACCCTTTATTATTACGAACCAACAAGAACAAACAGTGCTTGCTGAGAAAATTGGGAAAAGACTGTTAATTCTGCTTGCATATCTTTGACATTATACTCCTGCATATTGACTGAGATCTGACAAAAACTTTACCTTTTCTTTTTCAGGGATAGCTTTTAGATAGACTTCTAGTGCTTATATTGAATAAGGTACCTCCCGAGGGGCTCTTGTCTCTTCCCTAAATAAACAGAGCAAAACACTCCAAAATTACAGATCAGCTTCAAAAAATTTTTCTTCATGAGGAAGTCTGCAGAGACCATCACTAACTCTGAGTTAGAACTACCCTGTCAGTGTGTGTTTGCAATACTTAACAACACATGGGATTTTTTTGCCTGGTGTGTATGCGGGTTTTGTACAAAATACTTTATATAAACACAAATTAATTTTAATAAGACAGCAGGCCTAATGCAGACATTCTTATGAGGGTCACACTGCAAAACACGCCAAGTTTTGCTTTGTTTTTGCTTTGGAAGAATGTACTTGGTCTCCAGCTAATGTGTGTGGTTTGGTTTTTTTTTCCTAAAGCACTGATAGCATTTCCTATGCAACCTCAACGAGCAAACACATCTGAAGCAAACCAAAAACAACAGACTGTTTTAAGATACGGAGGTAAAATGCCGTCTAACCTTGTGGTGTCCAGAGGCTGGCAAGATTAGTCTCAATGATCAGATGCTTCACATGTTTCAATGTAAAACATATTCCTGAAAATCTTTAGTAAATATTTTCTTAGTAAACTTGAACAAACAAGTGTTGTCTTCTAAAGATGAGAGCTTAAGCACTGAGCCAAATAGAATAAATAAGTCTATTAGCTGTCATATGGGAGCTGCCACCTTGCCTTACAGCCAGGCAGTGTATAAAAGCGCCCTGCCCACATGAGGATTTTTGCTCCTGCTTGAGCTGAAACTCTCCAGGGCACACGTGAAATGTCTCAGCTGAAATTCTGCCATTCAGGCAGCAGTCGCAGGTCCATACTGGGATGCGTCTCCAAAACGTGAGGAGGAGCTTGGGTAAGGGTGGAACACATCTGAAGGGGGAAAGACAGGATAAGCAGCCTTTGGAAAGGTGGAAAGGGTGCGATGAGGAAAGAGTTAACTATCTTCACTATCATGAAATAATTTTTGTACCTTGTCTTGAGTATTTACTAATGCCACGAGTCACTTGCTGTGGAAGTATCCTTAACCCTACCTCTGCTAAGCTGAAGAAACTGAGCTCCAGAACATTCTTTAACACACAGATTTCTAACCCCAAATTAGCAGTGGTGATTCCCATTTACATTTGGTTTTTGAGACCTACAAGCTACCCCATGTTTTGTCCATGTAATGAGCACTGTATTGATTTTGGTTTGTTCCAGTTTCATAACAAAAATAACATGCAGCATCAAATCAGATGAGTTAAAGTGCCGAAGGAGAGCAGTAGCGATGCAGTTGTAGAGCATTTCGTTTTTTCCTTTCCTTTCCATCCTGAGAATGCTTCTTTGAGGTGGAAAAGCTTAATCTGTGATCTTCTCACTGGACCCCAGATAGCATGACTTTCTGGGGCACACCGGAGGTCTGTGCTAGAGATGGGAAAGAAGCTGGGAGTTGCAGACGCCAGGAAACAGCCCACGTCCCGTCTTTGAGAAGAGGGGGCAAGTCGTGACATGAAACATGGAAGGCAACAGTTGGGGCTAGTGTTTGACTATGTCCACGCAGCTTCTGACACAGCAGCAGTTAAGCGTGGTCTCTGAAGCAAACTTGTTCTGTGCCTGAAAGGTGTCTTGTAGTCCCTCTGCCTCCGTTTGTTGGGTTAGAACAATCCCCGGTGCACCAAGGGGGGAGTCTGTTGCTATTTGTGCAGCATGGTTAAATTGTGGAGAGAAGGCTTATGTGGCCCAGTAAAACAGGGCCAGACATTCTCCGTGCTAAAGACATTGTAGGTATTGTGAGTAAAAACGGGGGGCATCTGCCCGTATTGCAGTAGGGTACCAAGCACTTTAACTGGCTGCACAATCTCCTCTAGGTCTCTGGCTAGTCTTAAACCTCCTCGGATGACGGCTATGTATACGTACGTTATGCTGCTAGTTAACTGGGGGGGTGGGGGGTGGTACTACTTCCTACTTTAAATATTTTTCCCCCTATCTGAATTTAGTCCATTACAGCAGCTTTGACCACTAGAAATATTTCTTACTTATTTTTTATTAGGACAACAATATAATTGTCGTATCCCAGGAAATTTAGCCAGCTTTACAGCTGTGATGTTTTGTGTTCTTGCTAATAAGTAAATTTAGGTTTATAATATTTTTTTGGGGGGGGGATCTGCTGCACCCCTGGGTTCTGTTCTCCTAGTGCTAACGAACCATTTCAGGGTCCTAGGATAGGAATAAAGGCATTGCTATGCAGTCTCGTATTTTATGGAAGTTTAAAGCAATTTCTTTAACTTTAAAACATCTTCTGTTGCCTTCTACACATAAAATTGAGAGAGAAAGAAATATTAACTATTAGTTCTATTAACAGAAGGAACTAAAGTTGCCATCGCCATCTTCTCTACTCTCTGTTCACTCCTGGTAATTTGAATTTTTCTTCTTGGAGAATTACCCATTCCCACCATTATATAATTACTTTCCTTTAATAGTTCTAGAGCCTCTACCCACGTCTTTTTTTCCTTGTTCAGCAACTCACGGTACTTGTTCTACTAGTCAAATTTTAGTAGAATTCATTCCTAAAAATAAGTTTTCATACTTCACACCGTACTCGTACCAAAAAGGGAGTACTTTATCTGGAGGACAGTTAAAGGAATTTATTGTTGGCCACTTCCTCTATATGCCTTTGAATAAGAACAGGGTGAATACTGCACTGATATTTAGTAGGTCAACCATCATGTGAAAGGTTAAAAGCTATACTGATTTTGCACCCATAAATGTAAATATATGTATCTTTTATATCTGAAGTCCAAAAGGAATATTGCTGTGTAATGACCAGGAGAAAAAAATTGGTGTTTCATAATCTCTTTATAGACCAATGTTTCTTTGAATTTGTCTGTGAGCCAAGTGTGTAGTTTGGGAATACATGCTTCGTTACCTGGTGAGACGTGCTTTCTCCTCCCCTTGCACAGTGTCCATCTACAAGCATGCAGCAGACTTGTTCCTGCCTGGGGCTGCAAAGACCCAACCATTACGACCCAGCATTGGGCTCCCACTTGCCTTATCACTGTGGAGGCAGCAACGTATAGGTGCTTACCTGTAGGCAGAAAGGACTCCTGGAATATTTTGGGCAGCTTAGAAATACAGCAATTTGCAGGTCTGGGCCCCTGCTTGTGCCACCTGTCCTGCAGGCAGGTGTTGTTGGGCCAAGAGCCCCTGCGCCGCGGTTGTCGGCGAAGAGTGGTTCTGCCATACTGGAGCAGCTGCGGCTGCTGCAGGGATCAGGGACAGGGATGAATGTCTAGACTTCTGCCATCGGTGTGGGGCAGAACGCTGGGACAGGAGCGCGGCTGACTCCTGCCCTGCTGCTTCGGCATTGCTTTGGAGCCGGCTTTGTCCGAGGTATTGGCAGCGTGGTGGGCTGCCAGCCGCGTGTGCTGGTCCTCAGTGGGTTTTTAGAAGAAATCTTTCAAATGTATTTCAGGAGCTGCTAGCAGACCATAGCCCGATCATTTGTTTCAAAAGATAAACTGTCGTCATTGCTTGTGAAGGAACATTTGTTAACCTTCACATTTCATAAAACACTTTCTTGCTCATTTTTTAATCATGAAAGATGAAATTGGATCTCGAGTTGTTATCCTTGCGGTATCACCTCAGTCTCCAGCTGTGTCTAGATGTATTTTTCGATACATTTTGTCTGAGCAAATAGATTTACCATTTGTTTCATAATCACAGTTCCAGCATTCCTACCTCTAATTATTTTTGATAAGCAAATGCTATTGAAGAAACTGCTTCTGGGACAGAGAAGCTTAGTGTGCAGCTCAAATGGCTCCTTACAGTCCCCACACAGCAATGTGTGTTTGTTCCTAGGCATAATTAAACATTCACCAAGCTCCAGTTCACAGGGACGGTTTGGGTCTTGCATCAGGATTTCCCGTGAGGAACTGACAACTTAAATTTCACTGTGAAGTGCTGATGAAGAACGTGATTTTTCCTTTTTACTCGGCATGGTGCCCTCACACGAGCAAAGGCGAGTCAGCTTTGACAGGAGCAGAACTGTTGCTTCTGCGTGTTTGATATGCTGGTGTTGGGAAAGTTTTTCATCATTTAAACTGATTAGGGCCTTAATTAGACTCCAAAGAAAGCTCAAAACCTGCATTAAAAAAATGATGGTGAACCAATAAGGGAGAAGGGCTTTCCGGGAAGCCCCGATGCTGTTCTCAGTTGATTTCATGGAAATTCTTTTCACCCAGCTTCCCACGTGTTTTGATCAGTGCCGCAACCTCAGCACGGCATCGGTGCTGCAACCTGAGTGTGGCGTTGGTGCCTCTGGTGGAAGGAGCAGCCCTGCGCACCCCATCTGAGCGACGGAGACGTCCTGGCAGGACTGCCATCCCCTGCCACCAGTGCCCCTCAGCACTGTTTGTATCATGGAGGCTTGAACTCCACTCTGGGCAGCTCCTAGTCCAAATGAGTCAGCTGCCCGGTACTGGGGTTTCCAGTTGTTGGATGCTGGTTTTTGCTCTGCTCCGAATGCCCCTGCGGGCTCATTCTATTAGTGAACTGCTTTGGGAGCCTTTTAGATGAAGTGTTCTGTGTCTGG